TAGCGGATCCAGCCAACCTGTCAGCTCTTTCATTCCCATCGACGCTTCGTGTCCCGGAACAAAAATAAAGGTGACTCCACGCACAGTGGACTTCTGTAATGATTCAAGCCATTGTCTTCGCACTGAACCTGCCTGAACCCTCCGGATCATACTCATTGAATCATTGACTATACATACACGGGTGTATTTTTGTGTTTCAAGCCAGGCAAACGCTTGCGTCACTGCCATCACCTCCATCGTCATGCTGCTGGTTGTCACGGAGAAGGCGCCGTTGGCTTCTTTGACTGTTCTGCTGTGAATGCCCATGCGCTTCTTTTTTGGCGTATAACGGATCCGTCTGTATAGATTAGTGCATCTGCTTCGTCTGAATTTTCACTGATGAGAGCGTTGACCTCTGCATTAACAGCAACAGGATTCACTTCTCTACATCGCCTGTTGAGTGTGACAATACAGGAAAATGTACAAATAAACGCCTGAGGCACAGGTATCCATTCTGCATCAGGTATGATGTCGGTTAGGCTGCATATTTGCCTAATAACATCTTCTGCCCGACATAGCCACGATTTTTCCCTCTTCAGTCTGTCACCCTTTTCACTAAAAAGCGCTTGATGCAGTGCGTGTTTCTTATCAGCACATATTTTAAGGTATGCCCGAGCCCTTCACATCCTGATCCTTTGGTTCATTGTTGGAAAGTCAAGTAGATACCTCATTGCTCCACAGGATGTGTCTCTTGTACATCCCAAAATAATGCGCATGGCTTCATTTTGCACCTTTTCGAGTCGTTCAATCTGGGTAGCACTGACAGTGAGGATGGCCAGAGCGTATTCAATGGGGGAAAGGACCAGACCGTAGAATAGAAGTATTAGTAGTCTTTGCTCGATATTGGAAGCAGCCATAATCCTCATTGCAGATAGACCTTTGCGTGCTTTTGTTATCACATGGTCAACGTGTTCCCTGAATGACAAGCTGCGATCGAACCTCACCCCGAGAAACGTCATAACTTTGGTTCTGATCAATACATTATCACGCATTTTCACTTCTGGTAAGTCCGACTTGACAATGTGATTGTTCAAAGAGAACGATGACACTGATGCCTTCGAAGGATTGAAATAGGCATTGGAACCATCACACCAGGCGGCAATTCCATCGAGTTCTTTGTGCATTGTGCTGGCGATCTCCTGTCTATCACGCCCTCGTCGATAAATCAAAATGTTATCAGCATATGACAAAGTCCTTCCCTTTCCATTCAACTGCTGCTCAGTGATCATCACCGTATAAACATTGAAGAAGACTGGTGATAGCGGTGATCCTTGTGGCAAGCCTGGACATATCGTTTGCGGTTCTGAGGACCAGCTACCACATCTTAGTACAATCTTTCTCTGGAACAGGACCGCAGCAATCCAGCGGATTAGAATGGGATTTACTTCTAGTTTAAGCAGTAATTGCATTAAATAGTCATATGGTACTTTATTGTAGGCATATTCTAAGTCCAACACTGCCGCACATGTCTCTTCTTTAATCTGAAATCCCTCGTAAACATCGTAGGCGAAAACTCCAGCATTGAACCATGTCTCTTTATTCAACCTGTACCCTCCAGATGTTGGTGGGAACTTATCAAGTAGTTCCAAGTAGGTGGTCAAACTTTGTGCGACAATTTTCTCCAAAATTTTGCAAAAGGTATTCTGCATTGAGATGATTCTGTAGCCGCAGATCTTTGAGTGGTCTTTATTCGGCTTTGGTAGTGGAAACAAATAACTATGGAGCCATTCCTCTTGTATCTGGCCACTCTGGATGCTGATATTGAATTCATTTGCCACGCTTTTCAAATCAGCATTCGACATCATCAGCATGTCGTTGTATCGGATGCCGTCAGGGCCTGGAGCAGTGCTGCGCGATTTCTTGAGGCAAATTCTTAAGGTATCTGCAGTGATTGTGAAATCAGTGCCTAGCACAGTGTTCTCGCACAACATCGACAGTTTCATAAACAATCAAATATCTGTCAATAAACCTATCAATATTCTAATTGACTGTTTAATGCCCAGATTTATGTACCACACAGAAGGAATAAATATCGACTGTATAGGTCTAATTTCTCTAATCAGCTTATAGTTTTCGCATCTGTATTTATAATCAACTGGGACAGTCAGTACTCTACATCAAATCTCTGGATCTGGGTCAGTGTCAGTAGTCGTTAAAAGTTAGTTGCGTATCCTTTTACAGGATGTAATCAACCGCAACTAAATGAACTGAGGAAATACTCAGCTGCTGAATGATCTATTGAGGGGAAGGGGCGGGGGCGATTTATACCTCGCAAGTGGGAGATGGTTTACCCCTCGACTTGGTCTATTTTCAAGAACAGAGATGCCAAACGTGGACACTTACATCCTCCAATGAACGTAAAATTGTGACAACAGAGATGAAATGCCTTAGAAGAGCTGCAGGAGTTTCAAGGAAAGACAGAATACGAAATCATGAAATCAGGACGAATGCTAGGAATAAACCCAGTCTCACAGGTCATCAAAGAACAACAAATGAAGTGGTTTGGACAGCTAATAAGAATGCCCTGGTACTATCTGCCACAGCGAGCCACACTAAAACATTACAACAGGAATAGAGCGGGTGGGAGACCTCGGAAAATATGGAGTGATGGCATTAAGAACAGCCTTACAGAAATGAACATAATAGTGCTCTTGACAGAGCCCATCGACGAACATTACATCTCCCCCCGACACTTCGATAAGGTACAAGGTGGAAGAGAAGAAGAAGAGTTTTAGGTCACCTTGCGACTCGGGTGAAGCTCTGGTCAGCTGCGGTCAGAGTGAGGCTTATATGGTTGAACGTCTCCTGACTGCTCGGCTGAATCTCAAATGTATTCGTGGTGGGGCAGGTAGAGCAGAAGATTTTCGAGTTTCAGTAGCAGGGTCAAGGTTGTTGACCTTATGGTTACATAATATAATAAAGAAAACAAAAACTAGAAATACTGATTGGCTTGGCTGAGGTGGATAGAAAGTATATGTTATAACATCATAATCATCATCATCAAGTGCATGGGGCGATCATGCCTCTCCACAATCTGCGATCTGCAACTGCGTCTATCAGTTCGTGTGCTGACATCCCTCCATGCCACGACAAAAGCCCATCAAGAATCTTCTCGCGCTGTCTTCCTCCGTCTCTCTCTCTCTCTCTCTCTCTCTCTCTCTCTCTCTCTCTCTCTCTCTCTCTCTCTCTCTCTCCGCAAATCTTTCCCGGGTAACAGTTCCATTTTCCCTCTTCTCATAACCTGTCTAAACTTTCCTATAACTGGAACATGATCACCAAAGCAGTCTGCTCCTTGTGTAGTCTTTGCTCCAATAAAACTGCTCCTGAATGTTTTTAAAATCAATTTATTATCAGTCTGATTGCGGACATTATCACCAGGACTTTTCAAGTTCACAATCGACTAGGGTGGTGTTTAAACCAGCTGTTACCAATTACTCGAATCATGTTATGTGACTCAGCACAAGTTCTTAATCGTTCACCTCTCTCATTCTTTCTTTCTAGGCCATAGCATATGTTATAAAGTAAAATTTATAAAAATGGCGAGTGTCGGCTGGAGCGTGGGGTGGTTTGTGGCAAACGGCATCAACTTCATGTGCCTTGCCTACGGGTGGGGTGGTCATGACTTTCCAGAATCGTTTGTGTTGTCAGTTATTTAACTGATGGTGTCTCAAAGGGGGGTCAAGTTGTTTTGACTAGTTAGATGCAAAAGGCAAGAGAAGCTTTCATCGCACTAGGGAATTTGTCGAGGTCAAAACAAATTTTAAAAAATTCTAAACTTAAAAGTTGTTATTCTGATGTCATTAAGTGGTGCCTGCACAGAATAGAGGAAATTAAATGGTATGATAGAATCACTAATGTAGAGCTTTGGGAGAGAACTAAGCAAATTCTAGTGAACCAAAAGGTAAAGAAAAGGGGCTGGCGTTGGATAGCACACTCGTTGAGAAAACCTGAGAAAAATACAACTAGAATGTCTTTGTACTGGAACCCACAGGGTCATAGGAATAAAGACAGACCGATAAACACACGGAGATGGGAGCTAGAGAGTAAAGTTAACAAGATAGAGAGGTCATGGGTGGGGCTGCGTGCGATAGAACAGGATAGATCCACCAGGCGTGAGTTTGTTGAGGGCCTGTGCGCCACTGGGGGTTAGAAAGTCAGAAGAAGAATATGTGGGATGTTAGGGCCCATGTGCCATATGGTGCTATGACTTTATAAAGAGGGAAAATGGAACATTATTGCGAATGTAGCCGGTGTCCTGTCGAGGCAACAGCTGCTGATGATCAGTAAGTGGGGTCAAGTTGTCATGTCGGCTGCTTGTTATATGCGAGGTTTTAGGGGTCACTGAGCATCTGGTGATATGACTTTATATAGAGTTTTTAAAAAAGTTATGACAAAGAGAGCTGGTATCATGTCACAGTGTTAGGTGTGGGTGCTCAGAACACCCCCCCCCCCCCGCCCTACTACCCCCCCCCCCCACACACACACACAAATGGAACCCTTTGAATTCATACGGGGAGCTACCGGCACATAAAAGATCTTTTACGATGGGGCTCGGGAGCCGCTACGGTGTAACGGCCTAAATCCTCGCCTAAGATTTGAAAGTCCGTGGGTTCGGGTCATGGCGGTGCCAAAATTTTTTTTTTTAATTATTATCTTGGCTTCCAGGTCTGCCAAGCCTTGAGTGGATACCAGGTATAGACCTGGGAAGTAAAGTCGGCCCGCCTGATGTTGACCGCATCACAGGCTCCTTTGCTTTTCACTTTAAAACTGCACCGTAATAGCACCAACTGCTACAGCAAGGATGAAGGACTAAACTTATAATTACGGCAATGTTACAGTGTTGTAGGTCATATGGTCGAGGGCTAAGTAAACTACTGGCATCGTCGAGCTGTAGTGCTGACTGACATAAGCTGTCGTGTTCACTGTCATCCGCTGCCGCATCAGCTGCCTCTACTGACGTCATGGACACGTTTCCTGCAGGTATTGTGCACAACGAAGCGGCTCAGTTAGCGCGGGCCAGGCTGAGGACCGAACCGCCATCTAAGGATGTTCACAAGGTAATGCTCAAATGCTAACGTCTTCTTCTTCTTCTTCTTCTTCTTCTTCTTCTTCTTCTTCTTCTTCTTCTTCTTCTTCTTCTTCTTCTTCTTCTTCTTCTTCTTCTTCTTCTTCTTCTTCTTCTTCTTCTTCTTCTTCTTCTTCTTCTTATCCTTCCCTTTCTCCTCTACCCCCTCCTCCTCCTACCTCTTATTCTGCGTTCACTCCTAAAATGCTCGGATGTGAAAGTCGCACTTTCGGCACAGCACATACAATTTCAGCAAAACCTCTAATTAGTCATCTTTCATGGCAAGCTTGCTAGGCAGCAGTGGGTCTATTATTATTACTTTTCCACCAAAAAGTGGGCCCTTGAACACACACGGGGAGACATGGACAACCAGGAAGTGAGCATTTATGGTGAGGGATTGAGAAAGAAAGGATGAGAGAACCTAGACATACCCAAACGGATTCCCTTCAGGATATCTGAAGGAGGTTAGACATGATAGGACAGGATGTAAGAATCGATGCGAGCCTAATGCAGTGCAACAATGGCACAGCAGAATGATGATGATAGTGATTCCGGCAATGGCGATATTCACGTGATTCTTCAAAAAATGTGGACACATTTTTTTCCCCAAGAAGAATATCACCCGTGTTTGCCGTAGCAGCATGTTCGTTCATTGCATGTAATGCGTTCGCTGAAGTATGTTTTCTTTGTAACACCTGTGTTTGTTTTAACAACTGTGTACGGTGACATCTGTGTTCGTTGGAACAATTGTATTGTTATAGCAATTGTGGGTTCTCCTTGCAACTACGGCCACATATTGGGGGAGTACGCCGGAGTTCAGTCCCCTGGCTGCATTGCAATTACAGAATGGAGAAGGAACGAATCACACAACAAAGTGAGGTCGACATGTCTGATAGACCACGCGCTGCGACTCAAATTAGCGACCGCGTTCTTGCGACGCAAGACTTAGTGGCCGTGAATGTGACACCTGCGGATCTTTATGCCGTAATGAGCCTAAACGATTGAAGGGCTCTGGATGCTACGCAAAATTCGGCACCAATTGGGCACTAGCCGGACGCTATTGTCGTCATATTTAGCAGAATTCCAATGGCGCCACTGCCACAAGAAGCACATTTTCGGCCATTATTTGCAACTCCTGTGTCAAAATTATCAGATATAGCGGCCGTCATTATGGGTAAGTACTCGACGTTACATGTGTTACCTTAACCCTAACCCAACCACAAGCCCTAATCCTAACCATAACCCTAACCCTATGATGACAGCAGTGCACTGCACCCAACCCTAACCCTACCCCTAACCCTAACCCAAACCCTAACCCAAACCCTAAACCCTAACCCTATGATGACAGCAGTGCACTGCACGCTGTCTATCGCTCACGCTGTCTATCGCCAACACACACTAATTACGTCATTTGTGTCGTTCCCTCTTTTCCACTCCGTAATTGCAATGCGGCCAGGGGACTGAACTCCGACGTACTCCCCCGATATGTGGCCGTAGTTGCAAGGAGAGCCCAATTGTAGCATCTGTGTTCGTTGCATCATCCAGATAATCCACGTTGGTTTTAGGGCCTCATTTTGGGTTGGGCCCGAAAGGGGGAGTTGGGAGGGATAGCCCCATTGTATCTCTGACAAGCATCTAATAGCAAGCAACTAAATCAGGGTTTAGCAACGTCGAAAGGCGTAGATATCGCAGTTTAGCTGTAAACCACAACATAATGTGCTAACCGTCTTTCAAAAGCAAAAACATAAGCAGAGGAAGAAAAAGAAGAAAAGTAGTAGTAGTAGTAGTAGTAGTAGTAGTAGTAGTAGTAGTAGTAGTAGTAGTAGTAGTAGTAGTAGTAGTAGTAGTAGTAGTAGTAGTAGTAGTAGTAGTAGTAGTAGTAGTAGTAGTAGTAGTAGTAGTAGTAGTAGTAGTAGTAGTAGTAGTAGTAGTAGTAGTAGTAGTAGTAGTAGTAGTAGTAGGAGGAGGAGGAGGAGGAATAATAGTAGAAGAAGAAGAAGAAGAAGAAGTAGTAGTAATAGTAGTAGTGGTAGTAGTGGAAGTAATAGTAGTAAGTAGTAAGTAGTTCTAAGTAATTAGTAAGTAGCAGTGGTAAGTAGTAGTAGTAGGAGGAGGAGGGGGAGGAATAATAGTAGAAGAAGAAGAAGAAGAAGTAGTAGTAATAGTAGTAGTGGTAGTAGTGGAAGTAATAGTAGTAAGTAGTAAGTAGTTCTAAGTAATTAGTAAGTAGCAGTGGTAAGTAGTAGTAGTAGGAGGAGGAGGAGGAGGAATAATAGTAGAAGAAGAAGAAGAAGTAGTAGTAGTAATAGTAGTAGTGGTAGTAGTAGAAGTAATAGTAGTAAGTAGTAAGTAGTAAGTAGTTCTAAGTAATTAGTAAGTAGCAGTGGTAAGTAGTAGTTAGTAGTAGTATCGATTTTGTTTAAACTCTTAAATCATGTGCATATGGGGCACACTTCATTCTAGAATACTTAACTGGATATTCATTTCGCCATGACGTATTTCTGCTTATTCTCAAGCCAACGTTCCCATTGGGTATTGACCGAAGACCGGACTATCCGGAACATTACGGGTGGAACCCAGTTTACTGGAGCGACTACCCCAAGCAGCCGATGTGGACCGTTCCTCTGCCGAAGATTGCAGCTCCGATTGTTAGTAGAATGTAAGTTGGCTTGTTTATCAAACGGCAGCTGCCCTTACCTTTATCCTTGTGCCAGGTCATGCGGGGGTTCAAGGGAACGAGCGTGCAGACTATCATGCTGACACTGCGATTGCTATGACTGGCCCAGTACTGGACAGAAGTGATGTTATCAACGCCATGAGCTGCACTTACTGTACCGAGAAGCACGCCAAAGGATATGACTCCGTACCCCTGTCTAGACTGATGGACATGGGGGTGCATGCAGCCTGGAGCTGCAAGAAATGAACATTTTACTAAGGGGACAAGAGGTTTCATTAACCAACACAGAACAGGCGTCATCAGTCGTTTTACACTTGTGGAGCTTTTGAGGAGGAGATCGGAGCACCTATGGATCTGTCCGGAATGCTGTGATGATAATCCCTTCTAACCACTAATTACTAAACAACAGCTCATTTACAGAACGCTGTTCTCAACGACACACCTGAAAGTCTCTCTTTCTCTAGCAAATTATCCCGTCCTCTTTGCTTTCATAGTCAATGTCTCTTTAGTTTCTTGTATCCACGTTCGTGGAAGTCGGCCTCTGCATCATTTTCCGGAAACGGCTCCCTCAGTGACCGTTTTTCTCCAGGTCACTCTGTGTTGGCGTATGAGTGAGAAGTAACTAGCACAACCAGTGAAGTAAAACTAAAGGAACTTTGTGATGTCAGTGGCATAAAATGCTACACATATTTCTATACACCAGTCAGCACTCGATGGGTGATGTGGTTAACATCACACCGACCGCTTTTACTTTCCCATGACTTTATCTGGTAGCCTCTTTAAAAATAACAGCAACTGTTGGCTAATTAACTCTTTAAGTCCAAAGGAACGCACCATACGTTCATAGTTTTGCTACTTAGAAGCCCATTTAACGCATGATGCGCCGATTTTATGTCTCTCTTTACCAACCCTTGGGCCTGTGATGCTAAACCTCCCCCTCCCCCTCCCCCTAGGGATACAAAGAGTTAATTATTTCAGTAGCAGAACATTAAATGTTTCGGTCATCTCGTTATAATGAAGCCAAAACAGCTACTGGTGCAGGTTCTGCGCATAACATGATGTAATGCTGAGAGAAAAAACGGCACCCAAGGATAAGATGGATTGGCATTAAACACACTATACATCCACACAACGTGACAGTAGTCAGGGCTGCCCATCTGGCGTTTATACATCCACACGACGTGACAGTAGCCAGTGCTGCCCATCTGGCGTTTATACATCCACACGACGTGACAGTAGTCAGGGCTGCCCATCTGGCGTTTATACATCCACACGACGTGACAGTAGTCAGGGCTGCCCATCTGGCGTTTATACATCCACACGACGTGACTGTAGTCAGGGCTGCCCATCTGGCGTTTATACATCCACACGACGTGACTGTAGTCAGGGCTGCCCATCTGGCGTTTATACATCCACACGACGTGACAGTTGTCGGTGCTGCCCATCTGGCGCTTATACATCCACACGACGTGACAGTAGTCGGTGCTGCCCATCTGGCGCTTATACATCCACACGACGTGACAGTAGTCAGGGCTGCCCATCTGGCGTTTATACATCCACACGACGTGACTGTAGTCAGGGCTGCCCATCTGGCGTTTATACATCCACACGACGTGACAGTTGTCGGTGCTGCCCATCTGGCGCTTATACATCCACACGACGTGACAGTAGTCGGTGCTGCCCATCTGGTGCTTATACATCCACACGACGTGACAGTAGTCAGGGCTGCCCATCTGGCGTTTAACATCCACACGACGTGACAGTAGTGAATGCTGTCCATCTGGCGTTTATACATCCACACGACGTGACAGTAGTCAGTGCTGCTCATCTGGCGCTTATACATCCACACGACGTGACAGTAGTCAATGCTGCCTATCTGGCGTTTATACATCAACACGACGTGACAGTAGTCAGTGCTGCCCATCTGGCGCTTATACATCCACACGACGTGACAGTAGTCGGTGCTGCCCATCTGGCGCTTATACATCCACACGACGTGACAGTAGTCAGGGCTGCCCATCTGGCGTTTATACATCCACACGACGTGACTGAAGTCAGGGCTGCCCATCTGGCGTTTATACATACACACGACGTGACAGTTGTCGGTGCTGCCCATCTGGCGCTTATACATCCACACGACGTGACAGTAGTCGGTGCTGCCCATCTGGTGCTTATACATCCACACGACGTGACAGTAGTCAGGGCTGCCCATCTGGCGTTTATACATCCACACGACGTGACAGTAGTGAATGCTGTCCATCTGGCGTTTATACATCCACACGACGTGACAGTAGTCAGTGCTGCTCATCTGGCGCTTATACATCCACACGACGTGACAGTAGTCAATGCTGCCTATCTGGCGTTTATACATCAACACGACGTGACAGTAGTCAGTGCTGCCCATCTGGCGTTTATACATCCACACGACGTGACATTAGTCAGGGCTGCCCATCTTGCGTTTATACATCCACACGACGTGACAGTAGTCAGGGCTGCCCATCTGGCGTTTATACATCCACACGACGTGACAGTAGTCAGTGCTGCCCATCTAGCGTTTATACATCCACACGACGTGAAAGTAGTCAGTGCTGCCCATCTGGCGTTGAACCACTCACTTCCTTTCCATGAAATTTTAATGCATATGGGGAAAACGATGATAATGGTGCCTTTGCGACAGGGGCTCTCTACCTTATGTAGAGCTTTTTATCTCGGACTTTCAGTTTCTGAAACATCTGCAACCCCCTTCTCCCCCCCCCCCCCCCCCCCCCCAGCTGTTGCTTTTATTTATCATGTTTGCGGTGTAGACGGGCAGGTGGCGGTGGGGGATTTGTGTCTGAGGATTTAGGCCTGCATTGCTTCGAACCTGGGTCTCCCGCATTAGAGCCCTTCGTTCTTGTCTGTTCCGGCAGCCGCTGCTCTCTGAAACATCGAGAACACAAAAATGTGTCGCCGCATATTTACAGTTTTTTAGCGGATGTCCACGTTTGTGTTTATTGTGACGTTAACATCTTTTAACAACAAATGCTATGGTACAGACATGTAACAAGATTTACCGGCAATCATTAAAGGAGGTGGGAAGTGGGGGGGAGGGGAACAAGGGAACAACTGCAAATTTTATAGATTTTAATCCTAGAGGCTGCAAACCTGGGGGAAAAGGCGATGAATAGGGACAACTGAAAATTGTAGAGATTTTATTCCTATCGATTGCAATCTTGAAGCAATGGAAAAAAAAACTAACAACTGTAGACTTTTAACTTTGTCCTGCACCGAGGAAGCCTTCCGTGCTCTTGCCGCCTGGTAAAACTAGATGTCATATATAGATGTGATAAACATATTGGCAACGTGCGATTTCTATTTTCTTTCTTTCCCATTTAGTCAGACTGAAACACAGCAACGTTCCTAATAATATAATTGTTCCGTTCTTGCATCTGACTGACAGAGGTGGAGCGGTTGATCAGAAAGTCAACAGCCACTGGTGACTCAATGTCACCCATAGTATGGGGATTATGGCGATGATATTGTTGTGTATCTGTTATTCTGTGAATGAATACACGACTGCGTCTTTGTCTCTCTCTACCGGCAGTCTACCTGATCTACCAGAACTTCCATGTCACCGCCCGCCTACTGAGTACACGACCCCAAACATTTACCCCAGGTGGATCCCAGACATCCCGAAGTGGACTCCAACTTTCAACCCGTATGCAGACGAACACAACCTACCATTCAAACACTTAGTGGGGCCGCCGACACTGCCTCCCGTTGTGTGGATTGAAAAACTGCGATGCCAGTGAAACGAAATAAACGTAACTTAAGTCTAACCTACTTGACACTGTTCTACTTCACTGACACATCATCGTCATCATCTACACATTCTTTGGCTATGCTCCGAAACGGCCACATATTTTGGCGGCCATAAAGATACCCTGACAGAACCTCAGTCACATGTAAATTGCGGACTTCCGGCGACTTAAATTGCAGACTTCCGGCGACTACCGCCATCGCCGAGAGTATCTCGCAGCTTCCGCATCTCCTGCAGCTTTGCTCGTGAGTCCCAGCCATCTAGTTTAGCCCTGCTCTGCGGCGTTGGAGATACTCTCAGCGGTGGCCGTAGTCGCCGGAAGTTCGCAATTTAAGTCACCGGAAGTCTGCAATTTACATGTGACTGAGGCCCTGTTTTTGGCCACCATAATATGTGGCCGTTATTCGGAGGATAGCCTATTCTTTTTCTGCGATCGTCTTTAAAAGGGTTGGTTTGTACTCTGTGTTGTGACTGACAGTTTAGCTGCGATATATGTACCTTTCGGCTCAAAACATCCGATTTCAACAACCTCTGATTTAATCACGTTTTTATTTATACAAGCTTGCTGGAAGCAGTGGGTCTATCCCCCAACCACCTTTTCCCCCCAAACTGGGTCCTGTAACCCACGAGGAACCTCACCATCAACATCAAGGATCTTGCAAACTAGCTTTGACGATCATGAATACCCTGCGGTCTCTATAGCACGAATCAATTCGTGTGCTGACCACCTAGTTAAAAAGCGTATCAAAGTTTCTTTCGTTATCTTCGTCTTTCTGTCTTTTTATTCATCTTTTCAGCTCCTACTAGGTGGTCTAGTTTTTCTTTTTCTCGTAATGTGACCAGAAATTATGGCTGACTCTTTTTTATAATTTTGATAAGCTGTATTCGCGTCTTCGCCACATTCAAAACATCTAGAATGATCCATTTTGGCTGTTCAATGGAATTGTAAGAGTTCTTCTGTAGAACCACATTTCTGAGGTCGCATTTATTCGTCATAATATTACCTCAAACCTTAGAGGTGTGGCGAGTTTTGTTCTGGGTGCAGTGTTGGCTTTCACGATACTGTTTGCGTCAACACGGTGAGCTACAACACTGGTGTGGGTGGTTAGTCTTGGCACATCTAACAGCAGCTGTTAAGGATCTGCGGCTAATAAGAGGGAAGTCATGGAAGGCTTAGATATTGGTTTGCATCCTGGAAAACATTAGGACACTAGACGAGGAGATGAGTGGGGCAGAGTGCCAGAGGAACAGTCAAACTTGTGTACCGTCATAACAACGTTGAGCCAGGAGTGCAGGGAATGACAAGCAGGTGCCATAGAGGTGGAAAGTCAGCAGTTAATTAAGGATAATGTGATTATTTATGCAGATCGTTCAGTGTCAAGATCCAAAAAAAGTGCTTACGTGTTCTTAGCAAAAGCTAGTGGTCGACGATTGGTGCAGGAGAGCTTAGCATATGATGCCACAACGTTCATGTTCAGAATGGAGGTGGAGGTGGTTACTGCAGCTTTCCGCTGGCTAGAGTACACGACACGACATACACACACACACACACAGGCAGGCACACACACACACACACACACACACACACACACTCTGATTGTAACAAATTCAGAAAGCATCACGAGGAAGGCGAAGACAAGCACGCTTCACTCAGTGTAGCAATCTTCGCTTCAGACTTCACGGGTGAAGAACGTTGTCAGGATCATTTATTCGGGCTATGCCGGTGTGTTGGGAAATTAACCGGCTACAGACAGGCTGCCTGTGCACAACTTGGTGGAATATTGATGCATGGTAAGACCGTAGCCATCGACAGTTATACTAAAGTTTGGCCATGGTAAGACCTTATGGAAGCGCGTGTGCAATTCGGTACAGCAGATTAATCCTCCTAGTCTGGTGACAGTGATGCAGCCAGGAGTGATGAGGGTATCTGGCCGATACTCGAAGCTCATAGGAAAAACAAGAGGGATACATAATCAAACTGCTACTGGCACCATTGTCGGCTCTGTGGCTAAGTCGATGCAAACGCTTGGTAATGCCGGGATGCCTCGTTCGATCCAAGCTGCGGGCCATGCGACTTGCGCTAGTTTCGACAGTGGTATCAATAAAGCCGACTGTCCAGAAGCAATGGCAAACTACTAAACGTAAATATGCCTAGAAAAACCACACAACAGCCAGGGGCTGTTGGGGTTGGTTCTGCAACAGCCTATAAAGAATACGCAACGAACCTTAACTGGCACCATTGGCATTAGAGCTCTGCGCTGGCTGCTGGAGATGGGGATAGAGTGCTTGATGGAATGCCCCGAGTGCAGTGATATCAGTTCTTGAATCAAGACAACTCAACATCTGACAGCCGCCTTATGTATTTTTACTTTACTTGTGCAAGTTTTAAGATTTTGCAAGGACTGACAAGTTTTTACTGGGACTGTGAAGGACATTTTGTACAATTTCCTCTGCAACCGGAGCGGAGCATTTATGAGTCGATCCGTCTGCAGCGATGTTGGAACATCGACTAACTCTTTAACTGACTGACTAACTAACTGACTGACTAGCTAACTGACTAACTAACTACCTAACTAGCTGATTAACTAACTAAATACCTAAGTGACTAACTTAATATCTAACTGACTAATTACCTACCTAATTAACTAACTAACTGTCTGACTCACTGACGAACTAACAAACTAACTGACTACCTAACTGATTAACTGAATAACTAGCTGACTAATTAACAACTGACTGACTGACAGACTAACGACCTAGATAGCAAAGTAAATAAATTACTGACTAACTACCTGACAAACTAACTATCTAACTGACAACTAACTGATTGACTAACTAGCTGATTAACTAACTAAATACCTAAGCGACTAACTTAATATCTAACTGACTAATTACCTACCTAACTGTCTGTCTCACTGACGAACTAACAAACTAACTGACTACCTGACTGACTAACTAAATAACTAGCTGACTAATTAACAACTGACTGACTGACAGACTAACGACCTAGATAGCAAAGTAAATAAATAACTAACTAACTAACTACCTGACAAACTAACTACCTAACTCACTAACTGACAACTAACTGATTGACTGACTAACTAACGAAATACTCAAGCGACTAACTAAATATCTAAATGACTAATTACCTACCTAACTAACTGATGAACTAACTAACTGATGAACTAACTAACTGACTGACTGACTAACTACCTAACTAACTAATGAAATACTTAAGTGACTAACTAAATATCGAAGTGACTAATTACCTACCTAATTAACTGACTTAACTAACTACCTAGCTGACTGACGAAAAAAACTAACAAACTGTAAAGGATACGCTTTTAACGTATGTTAATGAGTCATTTTTAAATCTTGGACTTTCCTCCATAGGTAAAAAATAATTCTGTTGTACTTATGTCAAGATGTCGAGTTAAGTTCTCACTTTTATCTTAGTTTTCTTGGGTATGAGACATATTTAAATTCAGCAAAATAGGTGGGAGATTTGCTTATAGTGAAACCAAATTCTATTGGCCTACCACTTTGGACGCGGATGAATCCTCTCACGCCTCTAGCTGGAGAGACGTTTAGATTGGGGCTGATTCTTGACTGAGCTTCCAAACTGAGCAGACAGCTTGCTGCCTTTTCTATCTGCTTACCTCCGTTTGAATCACCAATTCACCAAGGAATGTCTATGAGCATGGAATGTTATATCTGGTGGCCAAGTCAACGATCAGTATCCTAACACTGACAAGTGTAACCCACATGCAGCTTAAAGGGTGAGGGATCCTCAGCGAACAATTCATCCCTGTCCAAGCACCAATGTCAGTGACTCCATGAAATGACAAATGTCTATTGTTCTGTGATGTTCCCCATTAGCTTGTATCTTCAACCAAGGCCCGGCTCTCTAGCGAAGTTGGTTAAACCTGACTTTCGCGGCAGCCGGGTGACGAACTCCTTGTGGTCCGGGTTCACTCCCGGGGGTAGGCAGAAAAGCCACATTTTCTCCCAGATTAACGGTACCTATAATGGAATCAAGGCCGAAGGGTTGCGATATCCATAGTACCGAGCCAAAGGGTTTACAACTCATGGTTTCTGGATACGTTTAAAAAAAAAAAAAAAAAAAAAAAAAAAAAAAATCTTCAACCAAGAAGTCTTTTATGTGAGGGGTTGCCAACATCTGCCAGGACCAGATGGTGGCATAAAGTATAACCTATAATTGTAACTGTTAACATGGACCCATCTTCCGTGAGACACATTTGAAAATTATGACGATTTCATTGTGGTATTTTATAGACATTCATAGTTCTGGTAATTATCGTGACTGTTGATTCGTGATCTTCATGATGGAATTCACAAGAATTCAAACCTGCACTTCCAGATGTGGGAGGAGGCCTCACTACATGTGAACAGGAGATTTTTTTGGGTCATGCTGTGAGAAAAGAGAAACTGGAAAACATTGTGACCACTGGAAAGATCTGTGGAAAGAGAGATAGAGAAAGATTGCATGAGAAGACTCTTGACAGCCTTTTGTTATGGCACAAAGGGGTGTCAACACACGAACTGATACACGCCGTCACGGATCGCAGATTGTGGAGAGGCATTATCGCCCACGCCAGTCTGCACAGCATCTGATGATGACCTGAGACCAGGTTAATGTAACTCTTTCTGCACTATATCTTTCCCATCTTCTCATGCATACATAACAACAGTAGACACAAATAAAGCTTTAACATTTTATTTATTCATATTGGCAATCTTCTTCTCAAACCACCCATGTACACAACACAAAACACAATATGCACTGTATACTGTGATTCCACTCAACAACTATTCTATTTCCCTGTGAACATCGAGTGTACTGTGTTGCCAGTTTTGGAATCTGCTATTCTTTCACTATAAAGTACTTTACATGTAAGAACATATTTCTGATATCCTAGAGAAAGATTCTCACTCAAGGAAAAGATTTCTTGTAAGAACTAACTCTTGCTA